AAAAAAAGAATAAAAAAAAGGTGACATGAACATCTGCCTAGTAATTTGACTAATTTTCCTTTTCCGGTAAATTACCTGGTGAGAAATTTTAAATCTTTGAATGTTTTCATTCTGCAAAGTAAATTTTCTTGAACAAAGTTTCTCACACAGTAATTCTTTCTTTTTGATGTTGAACTTCCATTACTCTAATGGGAAGATGAGTGATTTAACTTTTCTCTGTTTTATAGTTGTAGATGAAAAGTTCCATTTTATATACATTTTATTTCTATTTATTTGTAATACTGCATTTTAGAGCTTTTTTAAGTTTTATGAAAAACTGCTTATCAATTTAATGACAAATATAAATTGCAAATGTTAAAAGAAAAATTGGACACACACATTATAAGATATATTTTTCACTTGGTTGCATAGAAATTTAAAGTTTTCAATCAATGAATTTATGTCCCATTTTTAGGGGATGCAAGTATTTAAATAGTGTTTTTAGTAGATTTATATTCTACCTTTCCTCAACTGAAGCCTAGCTGCCGAAAGATTGCCCTTCTGTTTTCAGAGGGTATGTAGGCTAGGACCAACAAAGAATTAGGAGAATAGGGGTCTGTGCTGTCACCATGATGCCCTCACACTACTTTTTACAGCAGGAAATGGATTTAGGAATACTCATCCACAGAGGTGTAGGGTGAACTTATGAAACTTGATGTGGTAGAGGCAGATTTGGAATTCCTGCGGGAGCTGCTGTTGAAGTTTGGGTCTCTTGGCATCACTCTCTTCTTCTGACTGGATTTGGAGTTGTCTGCATCACTGGGGTCAAACACCACTGTCATAGACTCCATCCTGGTCACAGTGTACAGGCTGCTTTGCCGGGTTGGGTGAAACCTGGTGGTCTTGAGCTCCAGCTCATCATAGCTAGAAACTTCGATAAAAGGACACCAGCGAAATGCTCTCTTGAAACCAGCTCGAAATCTGAGAAGCAGGTCACAAGGAGGAAAAGACATATTTTAAGTGGAAATTTTCTTCAGTTGCCATAGAAAACCCCAATTAAGGCAGTTCCACCAGCTCAGGCTTGAAATTTGATTTTCTAATCAAATGCTTAGAATGTATCCAGTAATATTGTCATTAGTCTTCTAAGCTTTTCTTGCTTGAAATTGAATCTTAATTTCCCATCAGCAAGAAACAAGTCACAGAACAGTAAAAGCAAACGTCAGGTACTCAATCTGCCAAAGAAACTATGCATATTTCTGCTGTGATTTTATACTTTGACATAAGCATAACTGAATTAGGCTTGCTAGTTACGACACTTAAAAAATGACATATTTCTAAATAGCTTCTTCCAGAAATGATTACACATTTTTAAATTGAAGTCTTATTTAATGTTATAATTAATTGCTAATCTTCAC